ACATAATATAACTATGTTGTCATACATGATTTTTATTTGCTTATTTAGATTGCAGAGTATTTTCTTCCTTGCTAGCAAGATTCTGCTATACAACTGTTCCAAGCTGATTTCTTTTTTTTTTAAAGATTTTATTTATTTATTTGAGAGAGAGAATGAGACAGAGAGCATGAGAGAGGGGAGGGTCAGAGGGAGAAGCAGACTCCCTACCGAGCAGGGAGCCCGATGCGGGACTCGATCCTGGGACTCCAGGATCATGACCTGAGCCGAAGGCAGCCGCTCAACCAACTGAGCCACCCAGGCGCCCCGCTGATTTCTTTTTTTAAAAAAAGATTTATTTATCTGAGAGATAGAGAGAGTGTGTGCATGAGTTGGGGGAGGGGCAGAGGCAGAGGGAGAGGGAGAGGGAGAGGGAGAATCCTCAAGCAGGCTCCCCATTGAGCATGGAGCCTGATGAAGGGCTCGATCCCAGGACTCTGAGATCATGACCTGAGCCGAAATCAAGAGCCAGCCGTTTATCCGACTGAGCCACCCAGGCACCCTCCCCAAGTTGATTTCTTATCCTAACTGCAGGGACCCGGGTATTCTATACATCCAGCACAATTTGATTAATAATTTTTTTCCAACCTGGAAAAAGAAAAGCATATTCCTTTTCAATCCTGGAAAAAATTAATTTATTTTTAACAAGCCTGGAAGGACCCAGCTGCCAAGAAGCCCCGGGACTCTGGGCCTCCTGCTCACTCTTCTCTTCTTGCCTTTACACCTCTCCACCCTTTCTTTGTTTGAGCGGATGTTTCTGCTTCAGGCTTGACCGCCTCCTGCCCCCTGCCTGCCACTTCTGGTATTCATGGAGAAGTCATTCTCAAGCCTTGGACAAAAGCTCCTTGTCCCCTAGGCTCCAAGTCTCCTTGGCACACACTCCCTGTGTTTCCAGGTACCTAAGACTCTGGGTCCTGGGTCTGTCCTGCCAGAACACAAAGGTGCTGGGCTCAGTAGGACCTTGACTCAGGACCTAAGAAGCTGGGAGAGCAGAAGCCAGTGGGCCGATCCCAAGGGGTACCTGAACTTGGGGAAAAGATGGGGGACTCATGAGAAATGGCTCTGTTTCTGTGCTCCCAGACCCTGAGGTGCTACAATAGGCTTTCTTTCCAGCCCTGAAAATCTGTCACATGCAACTGTTTCTTTGTAAGTCAAACTTTGTTTCCTAGCTCACCACACACACACACACACACACACACACACACACACACACACACACACACGAGAAAAGAATTAGGGAAATGCTTAATGTTGTAAGTGCTTGAAGTCAGAGACAAGAAAGGCATTTGCCAAGGCACTTCCTGGCTTGGTGCATGCGCAGGTGATTAAGGCACTGTTTAGGGAGGAACTGAGGTCTGGTGGACAAACATGGAGTTCTAACCACAGCCCAGTTATTAGTCCACAGGAAACATCCTGTTACTATTATAAAGATGAAGTGCTATTTTTTTTTTTTTTTTGAAGAACTTTCTACAAGTCTTCCTTTTCATTCTGATTCAGTTCAAGTCTGTGAGACAGGAAGGTCTCAGGGTAGCCATGCCTGCAACATTAGCTAATCAGACTCCCAAGAAACATTCCATTCTGCTTAGGAGGGCTTTGGAGAATGGTTTGCTCGTGGTGGCTTTTAAAATTAACTGAGGGTTGCCAGGCTGAATGGACTCCCTGAGGGGCTAGTGACCTGGTTCCAGGCTGGTGCCCAGCAGGCTTGCCTCCTGGTGGGATGGTGGATGTATCATTAAACATGGTTGCTCTGCCTGTTCCCCATCCTTTGTGGGTGAAATAGGAAGTCTTGTAGCCTCTGTCCCTTTCCATTTAAAATCGGGGAAACTGAGGCTCAGGAGAGTAATAACAAAAGTTAATAGTAACAACCAACACAGAGAGCACTTTACATTAGCTTATCTGTAAGTGTCAAGGGGAGGGGCATTGTAGCATAGTGGCAAGAAAGATTTGGTTTCAGATCCTGGTTTTGCCACTTTGAAGCTGTATGACCTTGTGTAAGTAACTAATCCTCTCAGAGACTGTTTCCTGGTTTGTAAAACATTGATAATGATACCTGTCCTGCAGGGTTCTTAAAAGGAGTAGAAATAATGGATATAAAGTACCTAGAGTAGTGCCTGGAACCTAGGAGGTAACTGATCAGTGGTCTTTCTTTTTATTAGGGACACAATGCAGGCCAGCCATAGGATAAATAGTGTTTTCCAACCCTGCTTGACAGCAAGAATCACCCAAGGAGCTGGTTGAAAACAGATTCCCAGGCCTCATCCCCTGCAGTCTCTGGAGAGGCATGGGAATCGAGTATAACAAGTCACCAGGTGATTCCTATCAGGCAGTTTTGGAACACATCCAGGAACCCTCTACTCCGACCTCTTGGTTTGGCTCTTTTGTTCTCTATGCACCTGGCCCCATATTCAGTAAAGCTTTAGCTTTTGCTTGAAAATGGACATGATTAAAAGGTCAACTATCATTACACACACATTATATATTCTCAAAGAGAATGTGCCTTGAACTTTGCACAGTAGATTTATGCCCGAAAAGCTGTTTGCAAATGGAATTTGGGGTGTGTGTGTGTGTGTGTGTGGGAGGGAGGGAGAGAACAGGCATATATCTAATACCTTAGTTTGCTATTCAAAGGAATGCATTCAATTCAACTAGCTGAATATTATTTGAGTGACTATTATATGCTGGGGAGACGATGAAGAAGATGCAGACCTCATCTTCAGTTGGCTTACTTAGAGTCCATTGAGGAAGATGGTCACATAAACAGGCACTTACAACACTGTGGTTACAAAAGGTTAGCACAGGGAGCTATGAGAGCCTGGAGGGGAAGTGGGCCCAACTCAGGGGTGGGGTATCTGGGAAGTTCTAGGGGAAGTGACATCTGAAGGCGAGACCTATACACTGGAATTTAGTCTCAAATCCTTTTGCAAAGTGAATGATCCTTCCTTAATGTATCCGTGTGGAAAAATGAACTTTCACATCACGGTCACCCTGGATACATTTATACAACCATGCAGCTGCCCACATACGGAGTTCCTGCTATGGGCAAGGCACAGAGTCAAGTGTTGTAGGGCAATTAGGGTGACAAAGGCTCAATCCCTGCCCTCAGGGAGTTTACACCACACCTCCTCAGCATTGATTTCATTTCTCATATAGGTCATTCATCCAGTGTGATCTATTTATGACTGAACAGGTAGTTTATTATTCAGGTCTTAACTCCCTTTGCTGAAAAGACTGTTTATTCTCTTTCATCACCATGGAGTAGGGAAATCCAGTTCCAACCAACACTTAAACTCGGGCATATATTTTACCCAAGAGAAAAATCAAAGCGCACCCTGGAGTTCATGGCGCTGTTTGCAGATCCAAGCCATGAACCCAGGGAGGCCTGGATGGATCTGTAGGGTCTGTAGGGTCTGCACCTGCTGCAGCCTGCAGACCCGGCAGCTCCTGCGGTAAGTCAAGCTTTCTTTCCCTCTGAGCCTCACGGACGTTATTGCCTTTCAAATCACCTGTCTCTCCTCCAAGAAGGGAAAGAGGCAAAGGGGAAGAGAATTCCTTGTGCATTATGATAATTACATCATGTTTAAACAAAAGATGGCAAGGCCAGCAGGTCAAGTCCCCACACCATCTGTGCTTGCCTGTGTGTATGGTCTGGTAGGAGCTTTTGAGTGAAGGTGTGTTCCCATCTTGTAGATGGGGAACCTGAGGTACAAGAGGGGCCTGGAGGCAGTGTTGGATACCTGGTGGTTTGCACCCTGCTAAACTCCTCTTTCAAAATCAACCCCGAATATCAACACCCACCACCCCCAACCTCCCATTCCCTGCTTCTCAAAAGAACAAGCCTAAAGCATCTGCCTCCTGTTTTTTTTGCCAAGTTGCTCCCACTTCCTGAGACCCTGCCCCCCTCTATCTGCCTGGTGAAATTCAACCCATCCTTCAAAGCCCAGCTCAGGTGTCACTTCTCCCCCTGGTTGGAATTCATCTCTCCCTCCCGGGCACTCCTTGGCTTGGCCCTTTCTCTCGTTACTTCTCCTAGGGCAACTGGCTTAGCCTCCCAGATCCTCACTTTTCTCCCTTGTGCACGGGCATGGTAGGAATATCAACAGTTATCTTGAACACCTTGTAGCTCGTAGTCTTCTTCGATGATGCGATGAAAGTTGCCAGAAGAGCGAGTGCTTACTGAGGCCCATTATGTGTCAGGTCGGGTGCTTAGGACTTTCCTGCCCGTTAGCTCATGTAATTGTCAGTCAAGTCTCCCTAGACGGGTACTAGTATTATCTTCGTACCACAGATGAGTGGGGAGGCCCAGAGAGGTGAAATGCCTCTTCCGATGTCACACAGCTAGTCCTACTAGCAGAGCCAGGTTTACCGTCCGCCAGAGCTGGGGTCCTCATCTCCGATCCGCTCCAATGCCGGCTCTCTGCCTCCTTGCCGGGGAGGATGGGGGCGGGGAGAACGCAGCACACAGCGCGTCTCCTACAATTTAGGGGTTCATTCAGCCCCACGCCCTCCCACCGGCCAGGTCAACCAGGCCTTCGCGGGGTCGTTGTCTAAACGCAGGCCTGGCTGTGCCCTCGGCAGGGATCTCGGCCAACATCTGGTGGCCCAAACCCCGGGCCGTGGAGCGGAGCCGCGGCTGGGACGCCTGCACCGCGGAGCGGGTCCCGGGTCCCGAGTCCCGAGTCCCGAGTCCCGAGTCCCAGGAATGTGGGAGGGCTGGGCGGAGAGGGCGGGCACGGCGGGGGCGCTTCCTCTGCCTGCCGGCGGGGAGCCGCCAGGGCGCGCGCGGGGCGCGCCCCCGCCCCCTCCCCGCCGCCCGCCCGGCCGGCGGGGTGGGGGCGGGGGCTGTAGCGGGGGGACGACGAGGGGCCGCGGTGCTCTGCAGCCGCCTGGCCGGCCGGGCGGGAGGAAGCGATGAATATTCAGAGGGGGAGGGGGAAGGGAGGGGGCTGAGCGCTCGGCCGGCTCCCTGCAGCCCGAGCCGCATGACGCGCGGAGGAGGCAGCGGGAGCCGCCGGAGCCGCAGAAGCCGGGATCAGGGCGCCGCGCGCTGGGGGTGGGCGCCGCTCGCTCCGCCCCGCGAAGCTCCTGCGCGCCCAGGGACGCGTCCCCCCCGCGGCAGCCGCGCCAGGCTCCGCCGTGTGGCCGCCGCCGCCGCCGCCACCGCCGCTGCCATGTCCCCGGGGAAGCCCGGGGCGGGCGGAGCGGGGACTAGGCGGACGGGCTGGAGGAGGAGGAGGAGGAGGCGGCGGCTGGAGGCGGCGACGAGGGCGCCCGCACTCGGGCGCACGGCGGGGCCCGACTCGCGCGTCCCGGGCACGTTCCAGGGCGCGCGGGGCATGAAGCGGGCGGCGCGGGAGGCGCGGCCGCCTCCGCGCTCGCCGGGGCTGCGCTGGGCGCTGCCGCCGCTGCTGCTGCTGTTGCGCCTGGGCCAGGTGAGCGGCCGGGTGGGCCCGGGCGCGGGGGCGGGGGTGGTGGGGGGCAACGGGCACGGAGGGCGGGGGCGGGACTGGCATCCCCTGCACCTGCCCCGGTGTGCCCTGCCTGCGGGGTCCGCGGGAGGTGGTGAGGGGCCCGAGGGCTCCGCGCCCCCCCTCTTGGAGGGGGCCCGCCGGAACCCAGCCGGCCTCGCGGGCCGGCGATCGAGCCCCAGTCCCGGAGGGAGCGCGGCGGGATCCGGGGTCCCGGGGTGCCCGTGGCCTCCCGGTGGAAGCCCCCGCGCGGGTCCAGGCCGTCTCTGGCCCGGCGCTTCCCGGAGCTGGTCACATCTGGCCGGCGCGGGCCCGGCTAGCCCGCCCGCGGCGGCCGGAGGGGGCGTGTTTGCGAAGGGCTCGCGTCGCGGAGCGGGGCCGGCCTGGCCGAGCGCGGCCGACCTCCGACCCGGCCTGCAGGGGCCCGAGGGGCCGGGCCGAAGGGCAGCGGCGGCGGCCCGGGGGAGCCGGGGCAGGACCGGGCGCGGGGCCTCCGGGCCGAGGGTACCGCTTCTGGGGGGAGTCCCCAGCCCCGGCAAAGGTGGCCACTCGCAAGCGTTCGTCAAGGCGACGGTCCCTTTCCCGGAGAAGCTGCCTGCTTCCCTCGGCGTTTATTTCGTGCTTTGTGGGCGCAGGCTCTCCCCCCACCGCCCTGTTTTCTAGCTTCGCTTTTCAGATACTGCTGTGCCTGGCATTTTGGCGACCGACCTTTCTGAAAGCGCTGTTTCCCCTTCATAGTATTCCTGTTGGGGGTGAGGCAGGACAGCTGGGAGACGTTCCCATGTCACAGATAGGGAACTTGAGAAGGAGAAGTGAAAGAGCAGAATCACCGAGCCCTGGTCGCGGGAGCTGAGCAAGCGGGTTCGTCTTCACAGCCTTCTAGGAGCCTGCTAGGGTCCTGCACCCGCGGTCGAAAGTGGCCTGGTGATACCCCTGTTGTGCATTTTGTTAATGAAAATCTGGCTTGTTTTATACAAACAACAGTTCTAAGGAGATGATGTTGGAAGCCTGGGAAATGAGTTATTGGTCGAGGATGGAACCTTGGTGTCAGGGAAAACTTTTCAAGCACAGATACAGGATTGTCTGAGAGCAGAAACATCAGCCTTGGGGCCGGAAAGAAGCCTAGCAGTCAGGATAAGGGCGCTGGGGCCTGGGGGCTGCAGTAACTCTGAGCACCCAAGAAGTTGCTCTGGGTGCAGAGATACCCTCCCAGTTTTCTTCAGTAGACTTTGGAAGGCAGTGTGACCTCCTCCTGCAGAGAATACTGGACTAACTCTACGGCCAGACTTCAGGGTTGGACACGGTCTTCAGTTTCCCACACCTTCATTAACAGCATTTGTAGGGTGGACTAACACCACCTGCCCCCGAGAATTGTTTGAGGGGCTTTCCACTGGCCAATGTCTGAAAGAGCTTTGTAAACATTAAAAGGTGTCCAGATGGGGTTACATTAAGGCACCGTGTGTCTCCCTGTCCCTGTAAGGAAATTCATGGAGAGCAGTCTATGAGATTAAAAAGAAAATTGCCTCATAATTGAAGACCTCTTGGACCAAAGTTTATACTAAAGAAATACTTCTCTTCATTTATTTTTAGTTTAATTTGGCACACACATATTTTTAATTATATTATGTTTTTACTTTGTCTATGGTGGTTGCTAGCTATGCTTTGAATCAGTGAAAAAATGTCTGGGGTAAATTGATTGCTTGCCCAATCCTTCCTTGTATTTCAGTAGCAAATTGCTGCTCTCTGCTTGTCCCCTATTCAGATATTTCCTTCCTCTCTAATGTGTTCTGTGGAAACTCAAGGCAACTCTTTTTATTTCTCATTTTGGGATACATTATAAAATAGGAAATCTAAAAGGCTCTCTGAAAAAGCGTTTTCACCAAAATCCACAGTTGACAGTTCATTTTGAGAGTGGATATTTCAGGGAATTTTCGTGCCAGACCAGACTTTCAAGATAGCCTGAAACCTTCATTTTTTTAGGTGAGAATATTGAGGCCTAGAGAAGACGGTAATCAGGCTGAGTTCAAGACAATAGAGGAGCTGGGACTGAAACTGTGTTGCCTGCCTCTGCCTAGTATTTTCATGATGCTTTTTCTTTTTTTCTTTCTTTTGCCGTGTTTTCGCTTTGCTGTTACTTTTAACTGTAGGCACAGCCCTACCTCACTGTGTACTCCCCGAACTGTGGGTATAAATTGAATTTTTCAAAAGGAAACATATTTGAGATTGGAAGTCATATTTGAGATTTCTGAAGTTTGTGCATTTAGGAAATATGGGTGAAGGCATCAGGCTACCTCCCTAACATTTGATTGGTTTTCCGAAGCTCGGATAGCATGTGTGTGTGTTTTAAATGGAATCAACCGTAGCAGGTTAAAAAATGGACAAGTCATGGAAAAGACACAGCTCTGTGAGGGAATTAATGAGGATAGGTGTGGAAGCTGAAAAGCAGAGATGTAGAAAAATTCAGTGCTTAGTAGGGCCGGAAAAGCCATTTTTGACCCTGGCATCTCATTCCCCTTCTTCAAGACAGGAAAGACGGTCAGAGATGATTCCAGCACGAGGACTGTGCTAGTTGCAATGTCTGACTCCACCCAATCTCATAGCATTTTTGCACACTAATTTTGGTTTACGTGTATGTTTTAGGCAACGTGACCAAGCAGTCCTGTCCCCCCAGCCCCCTTGCCTCCTTTTCTTGGGAAATATAGTCCTGACAGATTCTTTAAGAAATAGCTTGATAGGGGCGCCTGCCTGGGTGGCTCAGTCGTTAAGCGTCTGCCTTCAGCTCAGGTCATGATCCCAGGGTCCTGGGATCGAGCCCCGCATTGGGCTCCCTGCTCCGCGGGAAGCCTGTTTCTCCCTCTCCCTCTCCCCCTGCTTGTGATCCTGCTCTCACTGTGTCTCTCTCTGTCAAATAAATAAATAAAATCTTAAAAAAAAAAAAAAAGAAATAGCTTGATAGTGGGGTGCTTTAAAATGGAAAAAAAAAAGGAAAGAAAGGAGAAAAAAGCTGGTGACTGATAGCTGTTTTGTTGGTCTTATAGTGTTTTGGATTTGCTTTTTCTTTGCGTTCTTGTTTCCTGGTGAATAATAACTGTTTGCGTCTGTGATCCTTAAGCCTGCTTACCTACCTGCTTACCTACCTGCTTCATCCAGACTACAAAAAATATTTTGACTCCTCTTTAAGTTGCTTGCTAAAATCTCATATGGGTGACTTTCAATATTTTTGTTTTGCTTCAGAACAACAACGGAAAAACCACACGATTATGTTTTGTTTGCAGACAGTTTAAGGAAAACGGAGCAGACGGGTTTATGGTTAGACTGTGACTTTCAGTTGATTTCGAGTTGAGCCCTACGATGAAGACAACCACGGATCCCCAAGCTTTCCTGAGTGGGGAGAATCCTGGCTCCTGAGTGAGCAATTTCAGTCAGCAAAGAGGTTATTTAGCTCCTAAAAGTAATTTTTGCTTGGAGTTGAGGCCGAGGTAGAGTTGCTGAATGACTGTAGGCCTGGGTGTAGCCCGCACATCATCTGCAATTACTTCTTAGTCCATTCACTGCTTGGCCAAGTGAATTATTTTGAGTGCAGGGTAAGAGGCAATTTTCTGTGTATTTCCTTTTTAACCTAACGCTGCTGGTAATATTATAATTAATAGGTAACATTATATGTGGCAGGTACTGTGCTCAGGGTTTGAATGCATTATCTCATTTGACCATTTCAGAAATACTAAAAGGTCGATGTTGTTCATGTTCCCATTTTATCTGAGAGAAAACTGAGGTTCTGTGCTCACCAATGATTTGTAACTAGGATGTGGTAGAGCCAAGTCTGATGTCTTCATTGCCCCCATTTACTGTCCTGCGCTGTACAAAGTCATTTATTTTAGAGAAGGTCTTCAGTGTGCAAGTAAGAGATGAGGTGACAAGACTTGTGAAGAACAGGCTTGTGGGTTCTGAACCCTGATGGGGCAGGGAGTCATTTTGGCTTCTCTGTATCCTGTACTCTATAGGATCTGTTCCATTTGTGACATGGACAACCCAGGTACCTCTTTCCTGCTCGTGTTGCTTTGGGAGCCTGAGTCTTAGTGGAGACAGGGTCTGGAGTGGAAAGACCTGGGTTCGGGTCCTCGCTCTGCCACTTAGTAGCTGCATAAACTTGGGCAAGTCCCTTAACCTCTGTGACTCCTCATTTCCTTATCTGGAAAATGGGACTAACACTTCCTGCTTCACTGGGCAGTTGAAGAGGATCAAATATGATAGAAGAGGAACTGCCATACGAAATCTAAAGCACGATTCTAAGGTTGTGGCCGCTGCTGTTATTTGGGGAGAAGAAGTGGGGCTTCACATCATTAGTTCGTATAACAAATACTTATCAAGCGTTTCTCACAGAGCGGCACCTGCGGGCATGCAAGATGAACTTAGCTCAGTCACAAAACATTTTTTTTTTTTTTAAAGATTTTATTTATTTGACAGAGACCCAGCGAAGAGAGGGAACACAAGCAGGGGGAGTGGGAGAGGGAGAAGCAGGCTTCCCGCGGAGCAGGGAGCCCGATGTGGGGCTTGATCCCAGGACCCTGGGATCATGACCTGAGCCGAGGGCAGACGCTTAACGACTGAGCCACCCAGGCGCCCCATTTTTTTTTTAATGTTAAGAATTATTTATTTTAGGGGGTATTAGTAAAAAAAAAAAATAGTAAGTTGCCTATCATGTCCGTGATTTTATAGGTAGTGTGGCTAAGTGGTGTCCCGACATATAAATTTGTTTATGTTTAATAAAAAGCTGATCCAAAGAAAAATATTGGGTAAATAGTTATGAAAGGATGATATGGTTATGACAAACTTGCAAAGGTGAAAAATTGCTTAAGTTTGGGAAATACTGGGCACACAGCAGGCAGCCTGCCTTCATGACTTACGGGGCTTGGGAGTGAGATGTTACTCTGATCACCCCCAGCTAACCAGTCACAGTTGTGATA